TTCATCTGCTCTTCTAATTTATTTAGAAGTTAGATAGAGACTTCATATCAATGTATCCCCAGATAGAGTAATTCTAATACACTAATAAATATCGAGGATGGTATATTAGAGTTAAGATGAGAGTTATTCAATTGTTATGACTGGTTAAATAAAGACTTTAATTCAATATTTAAAAATTCCCAATAAAACTAATAATCACAGGTATATTTAAAAAATATTCCTTAAAGAATAAGTGCATTTGAGGTAAGAAGTAAGTTTAATACTCTTTACTTATTGGATATTGTTAAGAAAGGGAGTCATTACCACTTATTCAGCTGCTACTCATTAAATTCGAGTTGAAGTATACACCTTCCATTTGATATAAACAAAAAATGCTGTTTTCGAAATTATTTATAAAAGAAGCATGTTGACATACAGTAAGAATAAAATCAGAATATCATATATTAATGACTCACCACTAGCGATAACATTAGACCATTTGATAGAAATTTATTAAAAGGTTATTGAGGATAGTATCTGCATTGAAATAGGTGCAAATGATTATACCATGAGAAACAACTAAAGTAGAATTACATAATTGTTATTGTCTAATTAATATCATCTTAAAAGATCAAAAATAATAAATAAGTGTATTATTGTTTTGACTTTTAATCCATTAAATCAGTTAGAATTTTATTAATGCTGTTAATCCTATTCCAAAAAAGGTACTACTCTTTCTAAAGATTATATTGTTTAATTAATATAATCTATTACTGTATACTTTAAGCATACATTATTCCTCCTTATACTGCTGCAGTATATAATGTTGCATTTTTTATATTTTGTTTCTACGGTATAGCAAGTAAACTATCAATTCTGCAAAAACTTATTTTCTTTGAGTTCTTTGTTTTTTCTAATATTCCTGAATCATTAATAGAAATTGAATACTCCCATAATCTTTTGAATTTGAATGATAATAATTTAAGAAAATCATTGTAAATATCTGTTTAATTCAGACAAAGAATTGTGTTCTCATAAATAGATAAAAACAAACTTATATAATTGTTTGCAATATTATTATTATCTTCATTGATAATTTGTTTATCTACCTAAATAAGAATTGCGTAATCTGAATTTGAATTCATATTTTATTTAAATTATAATTATTTTGTTATGATTTACTAAATTAATTTTACTTTTATTTCATAAACAATCAAATGTTTTTTTTTTAAACTAGAGGGCTTAAATGAGCGATTCTATCTCGGCTCCATTCAGAAATGCCTATTGAAGGAACAATAAGATTCAAATAACTCAGTGTTATTAAATAATTAATCGTATCTTCATTTTATTGCATTTTCTAACTAGATTAAAGAAAATTATTTTAAAACATATTTCAAGCCTCAAAATCCATACTCTGCAATTAAAAAATTTATAATATTCTAAATTATTATAAATAGTTATAAAATGATAGTTTACTAATATGCTAATCTATTAAAAATTTTGGCTAATATTTCATCAAAAATTGCAAAAGTAATCATAGTGAGTAATATTTAAATGAATGAATTATTTGTTATCAAAATATTATCTCTATAGAGTTATTTTTTCAAATCTATAAATATTTTCAAATCTATCATCTATCCAGTAATAACTAACAACTATTTGAAATAACTATTTTGGCTCTTTAAATTAATTTTGATCTATATTACCTAGTCTTACATTTGATTCAATAAATTACCTTCTTTATAAATATTTATAAGATTCCCTCCATTAATTGCTATAGTTTGTTTGCAATTTTCATTTTTGGATAAGGCAAAATTTAGAAAAATTAGTCATAAAAACATATCATGAATATATTTCATTTAAAAAAATTTATTTATAGTGATTGAAGAAAAAAAATTTACAATGAATTTTTTTAGTATTTATTAAACGTTATAAAGAAAAATCTTCAAATAAGTATAAAAGAAAAATTCATTCATATGCTAATCTCTTTTATTAAAGATGGGATATATAGGAAGAAATTGAGGAAATGTAGGCGGTTTAAATTTGAATATTTATTGTTTATAATTTTATAATCAGTTATTAATTTAAATTGGAAATAAATTAAGATATTGTATAAAATGGAATGAATTTCATTTTTCAAAGATGTAAAGAAATTCATATTTAAAATGAAGAAATCATTTTTAATAACCATTGCAATGAGAAAGACTGGTATTCAAATTAATCCAAAATTATGGGTAGTAGTCATTTAGATGAACAAGATATTGAACCAATACGAAAATATCATAAACATTCTTATCTTTCATTGGAAAGAATTAAAATTTACTTTAAACAAAACAACAGGAGGAAGATTTGTTCCTAGACTATTTTTCTGGATTTGTTATCAGGTCTATAATAAAATATATGAATAATAGGAACAATTGGACTCAATGAGAGGTAGAAACATTGGGACAATTCTTCAGACCAGATATCTTTGGTATGGAAAAATCATATATGATAACAGCTTGGTCAAAGGGTCACTACACTAGAGACGCAGAATTTATTGATTAAGTTATGATTGTAGTTGGATAAAAAGCTGAAGGATGCGATTGCTGAGATGGATTCTAAATCACTAGTGATACAGGATCAGGAATGGAAGCATTGTTGATCTCAAAAGTTATACAAGAATATACAGAATTTCTGAATCCCTCTCAGTTGTATTATCATCAAAAGTTCTGACACAGCTGTTAAGCCATACAATACTCAGTCAATTAATTTATCGAAATTATAGATGAAAGCAAGGTTATTGATAACAAAGCTTTATATGGTATTTTTTTCAGAACATTGGACAATCTCAAGCTTTGGGAACTTAAATCTTTGGTCTCCGTTGTTATGTCGAAATTTACATGCACAAGACCAAGATGACACTTTTGAAGAAGAAAAAGAATCTGAAAATGACAATTTATCGTAACAATCACCAATATTACTATAATATATAGATCCAGTAAATTACTACAATAACAACTAAAATATATCATTTATTTTATAATTATCAATTATCGTAATTTACTTCTCGCAATTTTTGTTTTGACTCAAAATCAATAATTGCCCATTTTCCTACTTTGATACCTTTCTTATTATAATCTCCATTATAGATAATTTATAGACAATCATTAAACTCTTCATCCAACTCTATCCACTTTCCAATTTTTTTCTCACTTCCTTCTTAATCATATGATCCACCCCCACTGAGCACATATTATATTTCTTATACTTATATATTATTTACATTTATTTATATTCTATTTCCTCCCTTAAACAATGCATAATATCCCATTTACCTACCTTCATGCCTTTCATATCATATTCACCATGATATGTGGCTTATTTCAAATTATAAAATCCTTCATCTAATTCAACCCATTTTCCAATCTTTATCTAACTTCCTTTTAAATCATATGACCCTCCTCCACTAAAACATAATTCCTCATATTTACAATTATTTATAAATCAATTCTCCTTATTTGCAATACATAATATCCCATATACCTATCCTCAAACCTTTCTTATTGTATTCACCTTTATAAATAACTTATTTCCACTTATAAAACCCTTCATCCAGCTCAATCCACTTACCTTACTTTTTACCATCCTAATTGTAGAACCCTCCACCTCTAAAAAATAAATAAAAAATTACGTCTTCTTATCCTAACAAATATAATTCCAATTACCAATTCTAAAGCAATTTTAATATTCTCCAGATTCTAAAATTTGTGCCCAACTATTTATAAAGTAATAAATTACTTCCAATAATTTCGGAATAAGTCTTTCCATAATCCTTGCTTTTACCCTACTTTACAGTATCCACCAATATTCTCTAAGATTTCATTATGCTAAAAAACAATCCATTTGCCATCATATTTTTTGCTCCAAAAAAGATTTTTGATTTAATCCATATTATGCAGTATTTCTTGTTTTCCGAGAGCATTATGAACTTATTCTCTTTGTTTTATTTTAAATAATATTACTATCTGATAATTGTTCCATCTTTTTTATATATGATATTATGATCATTAGTAAAGTTGATTTGAATTTTTGTTTTTTCTAATTTGCATTTGATGTTGTTCCACTGGTCAACTTCCTCTTCTAAAGTTTACTACTCTGTCGATTCTTATTCATTTAAAAAATTCTCTGTGCTTTATAAGTGATATCTAATTTACATTCTAACCAAAAAAAAATCTAAAGAAAAATCCAAATATATGAGATGGATAGTAATACTATATAGTATAAGAAGAAAAAGGAAATTATTGTAAAATGTGGTTCATAGATTATATTTTAATCAAATTATATTGTATAGTTATTAAACTATGTATATTGTTAATTTATATAATTGATCATTTCATTCCATAATAAAATAAATAAGCAACTTTACATTAATACTTCAATTATTTTAATTATAATTAAGAATAAAATAACCATTGGGTAATTTTGATATATGCCATGAAAAAACTATTTGTAATTATTATAGAACCTACTGAACAATCTAACAAGATTAACGGTCTTTTCTGAATAATGAAATTTATATTATTCACTGTATCTAAGAAAACAGAATAACTCTTCATATCCAATGCTATTGTGAACCATTAAATTCTTACTTAATTTTCCTTTTTTGGTTTCAATGA